CATTTGGTGTTGATTTCTCTTCCCGCAACGTTTAATCAGTTTAAGGTATCTTACAACTGTCAGAAGGATAAATGGTCTCTTAATGAACTCATTTCACATTGTGTACAAGAAAAAGAAAGGCTAAAGCAAGACAAGACAGAAAGTGCTCATTTTGCAAGCACCTTTAAGGCTAAAGGCAAAAGAAAGAGATCGGAGGATCCTAAGAAGGAAGTTGCTAAAGGTCCAGAACAAAAGAAACAAACTCAAGAAAACAAATGTTTCTTTTGCAATAAGACTGGACACATAAAGAAGCAATGTGCTAAATATCATGCTTGGCGTGAAAAGAAAGGGTTGCCTAAACTACCGGAAGCCAACTGATTCTGAAAGATGGATATACGTTGAAAATGACAAATCGGTGGAGATGGAGACTATTGGACATTTTAGATTATTATTGTGTACTAATTTTTTATTTTAGATTTAAAAGATATTTTTGTTGTGCCGTCTTTTAGACGAAATTTGGTTTCAGTTTCTTATTTGGACAAATTAGGTTATTTGTGTTTATTTGGAAACAATGAGTTCAGTTTGTCTTTTAATTCAGATATTATTAGAATTTGTTCACTTTTAGCTCATGATAATCTATATTTACTTAATATTGTGGTCACCTATAATGAAACTCTTAATACATAATCTCGTGGTATTAAACTAAAATTGGACTCCCGAACATTAAGTAGTTACTTCATTGGTTATTCTGAAAGAGCTAGGGGATATAAATTTTATGATCCCACATTAAAGACATTTTTGAGATGGGAACCGTTATGTTCTTTGAGGATATTGAGTTTGGGGGGAAGAATAAGATTAAGAATTTTGTATTGGAGGAAGAATCGACAATAAATTCAGAACCGATTCAAACAGTTACTTTTGCTAAAGTAAGTTCGGAACCTCCATAAGACATTGATGACAAACCCCATATTCAAGATGATTTGATTGTTCGTCAAGACCAAACTCAAGATCCTCAAGAACCTGTGCGTCATGAGTCGGGGATACTCCAGTTACTAAGGGAGACAAATTTAGTCTAAATTAGTGCCCAAAGGGGAATTTGGAAATTGAGGAAATGCAACAGATTCCCCATGCATCAGCTATCGGGAGTTTGATGTATTCCCAAATATGTACGCGTCCATACATAACATACATAGTTAGGGTTTTAGGCAGATATTTAAGAAATTCAGGAATAGACCATTGGAAAGCAGCAAAAAAGGTCATAAGATATTTAAAGAGAACAAAAAATTATATGCTCACATACAGGAGGTCAGACCAGTTAGAGATCGCTGGATTTTCTGACTCATATTTTGCAGGATGTCAAGAATTTGTAGCATGCTATGAGGCATCAAATCATGGAATATGGCTGAGAAATTTTGTCACGAGTGCGCAAATTGTGAAAGGAATTGAAAGACCACTTAAGTTATATATTGTGACAATAAATCAGTTTGTATTGTTAAGGAAAGAGTACAAAGTGAATAGATTTCCATAGAACACTTAAGGACAAACTCCATGATAGCATATCCTCTAACTAAAGGACTTCCGCCCAAGGTCTTTCATGAGCATGTTGCTCACATGGGTGTTTTACAGTTTGAGGAATTTGTGGTTTAGTGGGAGTTAGTCATTTTCATATATTTTATGTTCTATGTTTAATTTTATATATGTATACAATGTTTTTTTGGACATATTTGGTTATCTATAGATATGCGGTTTTCTTGTTCATTCATTACACTTTGTACATTAAGGTTATTGTATTGATCTCGATAAGTTAAAGTTTGGACCAGTTGAAAATAGACGTGTACAGATCACCTTCACGTAATTTTTCATGCTACACATTTCATGATGAATCCATGTCATTTGGTTATGTCAAGATGAGTAATCTTGTTGGTTTTAGTTGCGATGATGCAATGAAAAGCTGGTTTGGTTCTATATCCTGATATGATTAATGGACAGGACTTTTGGAATATGCTAAAGGAATATAATGACAATTTTGAGCTCATAAAGTCTAACACATTTGTAAGGTTGTAAAGACATATATATTTGTGACCAGTGGAAGATTGTTGGCAAATTTTGGGTTATGTATATATATGAAACATATTTAAATGTGTTAGGGTCATTATTTATTAAGCCAAATAATAAAGTGATCTAAATAAATTAAAGTTTTGGCTAAAGGCATATGTCATGAAAATTAGATTGTGTAGAGACCATAGAGTAATTTCTAATTTGATGAGGGGCCAAATTGAAAATATTAAAACTTAAGTAATTAACCTAATTTTGGTTATATAAATGGTCATGGTCCCCTTCTGAGAGCACACAGACAGAACGTAGTTACAGTCCTGTTCTTTTCTTTCTATTCCCATCAAGAGAGAAAATCAAGAGGGAAATACATGTGCTCTTCAGGTGGAAGACCATAAGATCAATAGTGCTCTAAAAGGGACATCATCATTATGGCTAATTCAGGTACACTTTCGCATTTAGTTTATAACATGTTTACAGTACGAGATTACTTTATATTTGATCGTTAAATTAAAGATCATAATTAATTTCAGTTTACCTAACATATTGAACACAAGTTGAATATATATTATGCAAATTTTGAAACACAACTTGAAAACCATTCAATCTTAGTGTATAAACACACACATTACGTCTACGAAGATTGCACGTTCACTCCTCCATTCTCATAATCGATTTTACGAGAGAAGTTGGAAACAAAACTTCGGAGTTGTACATGGGTCTGTGTTGTATCTTCATCCTCCACTTAGTCAAGTAAGTTTTTTGTCCCTTTTCTTATAGAATTTATTATTCATCTCCATCATTTAATATGCAAACTTTCATATTATTGTTGATTTATTATGTTGATGTTTAAATTGTTTATAACTTTAACCATTAAAACTCATGTGAAGCTCTAAGGCATAATCAATTAGATGTACTCATGTAATTGGTTATAAAAGAATACATAATTTATTATGTCCAACTTAGATAATTGATTAAACAATTGGTCTTAATCAATTATTATTATGAAAGTGTACATAAATGTATCTTTAAAGAAACATTTTCTATGTGGATCATAATGATTATTGATATTTTAACACTTTCGGTGCATTGTGATAAACCATGAGATTAAAATATAGAAAACCCATATATTTTGTTGCTGTGACTGTTTGCATGTAATGAAACTGGGAATATAATTGTATAAATGATTTGAGATAACATGTATATTAAGGTAAATATGAAAAACATTGGCCAATCAAATAAGTATGAAAAATTATACATGCATAATTAGTTAAGTCTCAATGTTAGTATAAGAACAATCGAATAATGTTTTATTAATAAATAATAAATAAATATAAAAAACTTAAATATATTTAATAATAATTAAATATAAAAATTAAAATCATAAATATATATTACTTTGAGACATGAACAATATTTTAAAAAGTTCCACTACTGTATAACAGTATTTAATACTTTGTCGATATATATTTTTTAAATAATTAAGTAAAGTAAATATTATATTATACGTTGTTAGAAAGAAATGTAATTATATTTTAACAAAATGATTTTTGTAAAAATAAATTATTTCATGGAAGATTTTTTTTACAATGTATTTGATTATATTATTATTAATAAATAGAATTTTTGTGTATATAACCTTTTTAAAAAACGTATCTTCTATATATTATAATAAAGTTTTTGACTAATTCTTTAAATAATAGCAATAACTAAATTAAAAAAGGTTATATAATTAAAAAATAATATTTACTAATTTCAATAAGTAAATTCATAACAAACTAATCTTTTTTGAAATACAGTAACCACTATAAAATATTTGTATCTACAAAAATTCGCTAAATTTAAGATACTTACTTCATGCTAAATTAAAATAGTAAATTTTTACTGTCATCGTTGACTAATAGCAAGGAATAAACAAAAATAAGAATTAAATAAAATATTTGAATTATAAGTTTTAAAAGAGAAATGCAGTTTAGAATTATAATAATGAATTAACAAAAAATAAAACAAGTTTTAAATGACAAAGTGAACTAATGCATGTGGATAATTAACAGAAGATTATTTTTTATGACTGAAATATTTTTGTATTTACAATAGCAAAATTATATCTAATCCCATATAGTATTATAAAAATTAAAAATATGTGTCACTTTTGTTTTTTGGTATACAGTGATTGTAATTTTTTTTAATTTCTAAAAGGCATAACAAGATTACAACTTAAAATTTCATGTAAATTACTCAAACATCATTTACTTTAATAATAGATATCCACTTATTTACACAATTCAACGTATTATAGTTTTAGAATCAAGAAAATAAGCAGCAATAATAAAAATGGCCCGATTTTCATTATTATACAAGGTTACTATAGAGTTCTTTATATTGATTATGAATTATCTTAAATATGATTTTAAAATAGTGTAAAATTGATTTTTTTAAAAGAAATACATTGTAGAAAAATATATTCCCATTATAGTATTGGAAATTATAACTAAATTTAAGATTATCATTTGATTTATTTTTATTTTTTAAAATGTAAAAAAAAGTTGTTTTATTACTTAATTTTGAATTAGAGGAAAGAGATAAAGACAGAGATGATACGAGTAATATGAAAATTTTAAATTTTTTATTTTGATAATCTTATGATGATTGAAATAATGGTATATATTAGTTATTTTGAAATTATTAAAGATAAAAGGTAATTCATATTTATAATTTTAAAAATTAATTTTTTAAAATATTTTGTAAAATAATTTTAATAAAATAAACTTAATTTTTTTTTTTACATGAGGTGAATGCATATAACTAATATTAATTTTATTTATGAGATAAGGTAAAACCTATAAATTAGATAAGGTAAAAACTAGCATTACGCAAATAATTAAATAAATAAGATAAAAAAAAAAGAAACCCTTCCCATTGGAGTTTGAAGAGTGGTAGAGCATAGCAGCGACGGCGAAAGGTTAGAGATGGTTAGCCAAAGGCAGCGACTTGCTCGGAAGCGATTCAAAGCGGAGCACCCTGAACTGTTTCCCAATCCCGAGCCCACACCCCCGAAAGATCCTAACAAGAAGAAGAAGAAGAGTAGTGCGTTCAAGCGCAAAAGGGCCGAGTCCAAACCCGGCTCCTGGAAGAAACACCCACTTAGAGTTCCCGGCATGAAGCCCGGCGAGAGCTGCTTCATCTGCAAGGCCAAAGATCACATCGCCAAGCTCTGTCCCGAAAAGGTTGAATGGGAAAAAAACAAGGTATTTTCTTCTCTTCTCTTCGTTCCCACTCTAAATGTTATTAACCCTATTATTATGCCTTTGTTTTCGTGATTATTAATTAACGTGATTTGTGTTAGGGTTTTGCAGATATGTTTGCGGTGTCGTCGACGTGGTCATAGAGCTAAGAACTGCCCTGAGGTGCAAGAGGCCGCCAAGGATGTCAAATATTGCTATAACTGTGGGGAAACTGGTCACTCTCTAACACTGTGTCCGCACCCCCTCCAGGAAGGTTTGTTAATGTATATTCACTTTTTATGTTTCTTCATCATACGAGTGTCACATGTGAAAACCTGATAGGTAAGGTGTGATATATATAGCATGTACATTGTAAGTTTTAGAGCTTTTTATTGAAATCAATGTGAAAAAGTGTTCTGTACTAGGTTATCAGATTGAGACTCAAATTGTGAATAGTCAATAATTTGCATCGAATTATATGATTTATATACAATGAAAAATTTCTTAAAATATATAATATGGTTGATATATAGTTTTCAATTTAAAAAATGTAAACTAGAAGTAGATCAAACAATTAAGCAGAAGTCATATAAACCAAACTATTAGTTATGCATTTAACGAGTGGTTGTGAGAGCAAAAAGGAATAACTAAATAGGATAAGTTTCAAGTGTTCTTTCAATTCATTTTTATCTAAAAATTTAAGCTCCCATGACCTTTTTATCTTGTTCATGAGCTTGGCGAAAAAGTAATTAAATAAACATAAATCATTGAATTATATTGATGATATGGAATTACACTTTCACTCATGTATCCTAGGATATACAAATTCATTTAAAGTTCATCTGATGCCAAATTGTATTGAATTGTAAGAGTTTTGTAATTGTGGTTCCGTACAAATTTCTAATTGTCCTCTGGAGCTTTTTGCTTTACACCAGGAACCGTTTGAGTGAACAACTTAATTAACATCTTATGGAGAAATAGGACTAAATAGTTTTTTATGCAAGCGGTAAGCTATTTTCATAAGTTATCTTAGAGAACTTGTTGAAATAAGCTGAAAACAACTTGTTTGACATATCATAAGTTACTTGCATAAGTGCCTATGTGAAATAGACTATAAATAAACTCTTCCAACTGGGAACTAGATGGATAGAAAATGGTGTATACTACAAGTTATCAAATTTCATTTTATCTTTGCATTTGATTATAGATGAGTGAGACTTGTCAAGACGGGAATTTGTTCCATAAATAAACCTTAGTAAGCACCCTATAGGCTTACACTTAAATGTGGCATCATTTAATCTGTAGATCTGTTTCATAGATTGAATGATATCTGCATTGATACTTGCTTACTCTTTAATCTAGGGAACACTGATAAGATGATTATGCAAAGAAACAGTTATCTTTGTCAGAAAGCCTGATTGGTTTGTAAATACAGAATTTGCCACAAAAGCTATCTTGTTACGTTTTTTTGGCTATCTTATCACATCATTATTGTATCATTATGCTATCTTATTATGTTTTTTTTATTATTGTGTGATAAGTGGCTTCTCTACTATATTTATGCTTGTAAATAGGCCCCCTAATTGTTGGGGAATATATGGTTATCTTTGATAAAATCTTATGTTCTCAATTTTAATTTTGATGGAGTGCTTACTTATGGGTTCTTTAATCTCTTTTCTCATGATATAATGTACATCATTGGTGATGCAGGAGGGACAAAGTTTGCTGAGTGCTTTGTCTGTAACCAACGTGGACACTTGAGTAAAAACTGTCCTCAAAATACTCATGGCATTTATCCAAAGGTATTGCTGTTTCCTTTAACACTAGACCTTGTAAGAGATATATAACAAAATTAGTTGAATCAACAAACTTGTCTCCTGTAGGGTTTTTCTAATCTATGTTGCAACTATTTATCTGTACTAGGGTGGTTGCTGTAAAATATGTGGTGGTGTCACACATTTGGCAAAAGATTGTCCCGACAAAGGAAGGCAAGGATCTGGTGCTGCTAATGGCCCTGTTGGTAGATGTAAGTTATTTCCGGTTTTCATATCAAGTGCTTCATTTTTTGTTTAATCTGCTCGGAATCCATTTTCTTTTTTATTCACTTCTCTAAAAAAGGCTGATACTATTCTTGTTTTGCTGCCATTATTCAGTTAAATTCAATATAATTATAGTAGTTTTTTTGCTGTAATGTCAACTAATTTCAAGTAGTGAAAGTGCACTGTTTTTGATCCTTTGCCAACTTAGGATAAATTACAATAGTTTTAACGCAACTGCTTCTCCAAAATTAGTGATACTTTTGCTCTTTTTATTATTCTTGTTCTAAAATAGATGCTGAACATCTCTTCTTCATATCTGTGTTTGTAGTTACACAAATTTGTTACTGGTTACTGTACGACCTTGCTTGATTGCACATGGCAAATGTTAAAATTTATTCTGTGTGTAGGACATGGACACTGGACAGTCCTACCTTTTTTATTTTGTTGGATGTTAATCTTCATTTATTTTATCTAATTTAACTGTGTAGTGTTCTTATTAAAAGTTACCTTTCTGCAATGCTTGTTTGTGTTTCACCCATGAATAGACATTGTCATAACAAAGCGACTATTTAATGCCTGGCAGTGGGTTGAAGTATATTTTAAGAAGCAAATTCTTCACCATAGAAATAGAAATGACCTCTAATTTTTGGAGTGATCAGTTCTAAGCCTGAACTCGTTTTTTATACCTCTGGTTTTATAGCATTCAGTTATACTTTATTTCGTTGTGTTGGATTGCCACACATTTATATGGAAGAAGGGTGCATATCTAAAATATGGCTGATGAATATTCCTTATTTCAGCAACGAGAATTGAAGAGAGGTCCAGGGGCAAGGTTACCAAATTTATTAGCGGGGATGATATTGAGGATGACTTCATGGTAGATGACATACATAGTGGCAACAATAACAAGTCAGCAAAGTCAGAAGATGAAATTGCAAAACCAAAGAAGAAGGATCCTAAAGTTGTGAACTTTAACTGAGGATATTTACCTCTTGATGTATCTTTGTAGACATTGGTTTCCACTCTCCATTTTCTCTCCTATTCTGCATGTGAAAAATTTCTTCCAGCACGAATGTAATCGCTCCTGCGGAGTCTCCGGTTCCCCACAAGTTTGAAGAATTGACATGGAAGCGAGGAATAGTATCGCGTCTGATTGCGGATCATATTTTTTTAGAGTGATTTATGAGAGAGACAACTGAAAATGTAACAATATGTTTTGGTACAATAGCTAGTTAATTATTTGTCTTGTTGATCGACTTTCGGTGCATTGCTACTTTACATTTGACATGGGTTAATGTTATTATACAACAATAACCTCATCTCACTGAATGAGTTTCATTATAGATATCATACAAAGTCATTGATTTCGGTTAAGAACTAAATTTAGAGATATTTACAGTGGGATCATGGCTTAATATCATTATATCAATATAAATTTTAATATACAAATTCTCACCTATGCCAGATTTTTTTTTATAACTAAAGAAGAAATATGCTTAATTTGTTTTATACAAGTAGTTAAAAGAAGAAAGATTAGAAAAATTAAAATGTACGAAAGAAAAGATAAATCCTTTCTCTCATTATCATAAAGAGTTAAAGCGTTTTTATTTTTCTCTTTCATGAAAATGCTTTTTCCTTGTAATTTTTAGAATTTGTTTGGTACCCCGTGTTATAATAAACTTGCATCTTGTTATATTCATTAGAAATACTCTAAACTACGTAAAAAAATTCATAAATTAAATTAATTTATTTTTATTTAGATTATAATTTATATATGTTTAAATTAATATATAAATTTATGAATATATCTGTTTTATAAAATAATAATAACTTTTAGATAAAAAATAATATTATTTATTAAAATATTATATATATATATATATATATTAAATTATTTTGATAAATTTCCACTTATTTAAAAATAAATATAAATAAAAGGTTTTAACATATTACGTGATCTCAGATGAATTATTATTTTAATCAATAAATCATTAAAAATTTATTAATAATAATAAATAATAGTTTTTAATTTTTATTTTAATATTAAACGAACATATTTTTTTATAATTTATATATTAAATTATAATATTTAAGATTTAAATTAATTTATTAATATAATTTAAAATGTAAAATATATTTTTAAGTTTTATTTAAATATTTTTAATTAATTATTTTTATATAAATATATTATTTTTTTATTTTAAATTACATTAAAATTTACAACCTAATTCAAATCAAATAAAACAATTATGATCGATTTAAATAAAAAAAAATCTATTTAAAATATATTAAATTTGAAAGTAGTTTTACTTTTTTCTTCCGAAAAAAGTAGGGACTTAATAAGTCTAAAGATAGATTTAAGGATAAATTTTTATCTTTTAAAGATATTATTAAACGTAAAATTGAAAAAAATATAATTGAAAGACAGAGCAAGCAGATGCTCGATTGGACATGTAACAAATAAAATGGGGCAGAAAGATGAAGGACATTTTCAAATATTATCCAACATTAATTTAGTCAAAATAATATTTAAAAATAAATTATATATTAGATGAAAATTGAGTTGTTCTATCCAAATTCAGATACTTTATTCAAATAAAATATTATAAATCTGAAAAAGAAAATTACATGTAATTTAAATTATGTGTGTTCCAATGTGTAAAAAATTCTTTATCCAAATACAAAATAAATTATATATATATATATATATATATATATATATATATAAATCATAATTTTTTTTAATCATAAAATATGTTTTTAGTCAACAGAATATTTGAGCTTAGGTGTGAAAATATGGGTTTTTAAATTACTCATTTTCTATGTAATCCAAAACAACTTGTTTTATATTCTGTTAAGGAGTATCGAATCTCACATTAACAGTGAATTAGAATAATCTAATTTTAAAAATAAAAGGTAATTATGCACGATTTTTTTATAAGAAAATATAAATTTACAAAATCACTAAAAGTAAGAGTGAACTTTAAACCTTAGAAAAAAAAATTAATAATATAAAAATATAATTGTAAATATTCAATAATTTTTGTTTGAACAGTAAATTTCGATCCATTATTTTTACTAATAATAATAGTCGCAATATCACAAATAACGACGCAGTGAATTATGTGTTATTGGTAAAACATAACAAACTTTCATATTCCAGTTTCGCTCCAGAAAATATATTAAAAGGATTTCATTCATCTGAAAAAGGTAAGGAACCCGGATTAACCCTAATTTGCTTCGCTGCTTCTCTTAGGACTGTGAAGTTTTTGGGTGTTGCCTTGCCTCTGCTCCGCAGTGTCTGAAATCATCAGTCTGATGCTATGACTGTGACCGATAGCCATGACGGCACGCTGAGCCAGATCTCTGACAGTAAGCAGTGCAGAGAGGGGGAGAATCCTCAAACGCTCACTTCTCCGGAACATGGAGGCACTGATAAAAGGAAGAAAAAGAGAAAGAAGAGAAACGACGAATCAAACGAACAGTCCCAGATTGAGGTATGCCCTAAACCCTTAGTAGACTTACTGTTGTTTCAAGAGGAAAATGGTGTAGCCGCTCTAGATAATCCTAATCCAATCTACAATAAGAAGAAAACTAAAAATTTGCATGGTGAACAACAGCTTCACCCATCTAACTCTTCAATTGGGATTTGTGTGGTATCTGATGACACGCAGGGGGAAGAAGCACGACAAGGTGATGCTAATGGGAATAGGGGTTTGTGCCCTAATCCCTTAGTGGACAGACCAATCCCAATTGCTCCACGAGAGGAAAATGGTGAGGCTACTGCACAGAATCATTGCTCAATCCCCAAGAAGAAGAAGAGCTTGCCAGTTGCTGAACAGATATGTGACTCTTCAATCCTGATAGGTGTGGAACCTGGTTTTACGAGGGAAAAGGGATCACGACAAGGTGATGCCAATGGGAATGGGATTTTGTGCCCTAAACCCGTAGTTACACTAAATCCAATTGTTTCTCATGAGGAAAATGCTAAAGCAACTGCACAGGACCATAACTCAATCCTTAAGAAGACTTTGCCAGGTGCTGAACAGATATGTGACTCTTCAATCCTGATAGGTGTGGAACCTGGTTTTACGAAGGAAAAGGGATCACGACAGGGTGATGCCAATGGGAATGGGGTTTTGTGCCCTAAACCCGTAGTTACACTAAATCCAATTGTTTCTCATGAGGAAAATGCTAAAGCAACTGCACAGGACGATAACTCAATCCTTAAGAAGAAGACTTTGCTAGGTGCTGAACAATTATGTGACCCTGGTGATAATGGGAATGAGGGTTTTTGCCCGAAAACCTCAGTAGACACACAGCTCCCAATTGTTCCCCGTGAGGAAAGTGCTGAAGCAACTGCACAGAACCCTACTCCAAACCCCAAGAAGAAGAGGAAGAGGAAGAAGAAGAAGAAGAGTTTGCGAGGTGCAGAGCAAATGTGTGATCCTTCCGTCCAAATAGGTGTGGAACTTGATGTTAGGCGGGAGGAAAGAGAACAACAAGGTTCTGAAACAAGTACACAGAACCCTAACGCAACTCCCAAGAGAAAGAGGAGGAATAATGTGGAAAATGAACTACAGCAACTTCAGACATGCGACCCTTCAATCCCGATCTATGTAGAACCTGAAGTTAAAAAGGGAGAAGGAGCACATCGAGGTGATGCTAATGAAGCTGGAATATCAGGAATAAATGAAGAACGCCTTGTACCTGATGCTACAGCCCCAGAAAACACGCACTGGAAAAATGATTCCTCCGGGAAAAAGGAGAAAGTGTTTAAGCCTGACTGTTCTCAACCTGAAGTGGTACTCCAGTTAGACACAGCAACCCCTTCTGACCTAGAACTTAAACAAAAGGCACAACCGATTGAAGCTAAGATAGAGTATCCTCAAACGAGTTTACGTGCACAACACACTCAACCTCAACCTTCTTCTAACCATGCACCTGCTGTTCGAGGAATAAATGAAGAATGCCCTGCACCTGATCCAGCACCCCTGGAGCACACTCATCAGAAAAAGAGGACGAGGAAAAAGAAGAGTGTGCTTAATCTCCCACGGGTTGAACTACAACTAGAACCAGAACCAAAACCAAAGGAGTCCAATAATACAGAGCACCCTCAACAATGTACGCCCTATTTAGAACTGAAAGTTATGGTAAAAATAGGTGCAGAAGCCAATGTAGACCACTCTCAAGTGTGTCCTCAACCTGAATTGGCTCCCCCATTAGATATAACAACTCCTAATGTCACAGTGGTGGAAAAAAGGGTAGAACTAACTGAAGCTAATGTGGAGAATCCTCAAGCATGTTCTAAACCTGAATTAGCATCCCTGATAGATCTTCCAGCTCCAACAGGCCCAGAAAAGAAACAACAGGCATATCCTATCAAAATCCCAGAAAAACATACTCAACTCCCCAAATCTCAACCTTGTGCAGAGCCTCTGGTCGATTCAACAACTCCAATTGATCTAGGCAGAAGAGAACATACAAATAAGAGGGTAATAGAAAAAATAATGTGCTCAGAAGAGAAGGTGGGAAACCATGGAAGCCCATTACATATGGACATAACCCTCAACCTGGCCCCAGACCCGGGACAGCAAGACCCAGCATCCTCATTAAGCTCACAACCTGTATCCCTGACAGATCAAGCAATCCCAGTGGATCCAGCAATCCCAATAGACTCAGAGCAAAAGATGAAGAAGAAAATAAAGCAAAGGGAGACTGTGGTGGTGGGGGAAGAAGAGCCTAATCATAATAAATGTGATACAGAGCAGCCAAAAGTGACAATTCAGAAATCTACATTTATAGAAGCACCCCCAATAGATCCAACAATTAAAATGGACCATTGCCTTGCAGTCCCAATGTGCCCAACAAACTCAACAGACATAAAACAAGAGATCTCAAAGAAAAATAGGAAGAAGAAAAGGAAAGGAGGAATGAGGGCAGAAAAGAAAAAAGAGACGGAACCGAGTGAAGCACATGTACAACATCCTCAACCTTCTATCCATGAACCTGCTGTCCGAGGAATAAATGAAAAATGTCCTGCACCTGATCCAGCACCCCTGGCGGGCCCACACCCAAAAAAGAAGAGGAGGAAAAGGAAGAGTGTGCTTAATCTCCCACGGGTTGAGCTACAACTAGAACCAGAACCAAAGGAGTCCAATAATATAGAGCACCCTCAAGAATGCACCTCCTCTTCAGAACTAAAAGTTACGGTGAAAATAGGCACAGAAACCAATGCAGACCACTCTCAAGTGTGCCCTAAACCTGAATTGGCTCCCCCATTAGACATAGCAAATCCTAATGACACAGTGGTGGAAAAAAGGGCAGAACCATCTAAAGCTAATGTGGAGGGACCTCAAGCGTGTTCTAAACTTAAATTAGCATCCCTGATAGATCTTCCAGCCCCAACAGGCCCAGAAAAGGAACAAGAGACATATCCTTTCAAAATCCCAGAAGAACATACTCAACTCCCCAAACCTCAACTTTGTGCAGAGCCTCCAAGTGATTTGACAACCCCAAATGATCAGAGCAGAAGAAAACAGAAAAATAAGAGGGTAATAGAAAAAATAATGTGCTCAGAGGAGAAGGAGGTGAACTATGGAAGCCCATTGCATATGGACATAACCCTCAACGTGGCCCCAGACCTAGTCCAACAAGACCCAACAACCCCATTAAGCTTACAACCAGCATCCTTAATAGACCAAACAATCGTGGTGGATCCAGCAATCCCAACAGACGCAGAACAAAAGATGAAGAGGAAAATAAAGCAAAGGGAGACTGTGGTGGAGGGGGAAGAAGAGCCTAGTCATAATAAATGTGATACAGAGCAGCCAAAAGTCACAATTCAGAACTCTACATGCCTTATAGAAGCACCCCCAATAGACCCAGCAATTAAAATGAACCATTGTCTTACTTTCCCAATGTGCCCAACAAACTCAAAAGATATAGAACCGGAGATCTCAAACACAAATAGGAAGAAGAAAAGGAAGAGTGCACGCAAAAGTGAAGTGGCTGAAGCCAATAAACAGAACAGTGAAGCGGCAGAACCCAATGAACGCAATGGCAAGCTCAATGAAGTCCCATCTGGGGCCTCAGCTCAACAATTTGTATACCCTATAACAGTACCCTCAAATGACCAAATAAACTCAATAGGCGCAGCTACCCTTATAGACACAACAACCCCAATAGACCAAGGTCAGGAGATGACCAAGAAAAAGAGGAAGAAGAAGAGAAATAGGAGATCGCACATAAATGAAGGGGCTGAACCCAATGAACCAGATGACAAACAACCTGAAACCGCAGTCCAGGGATTTGTATATCCTATAGTAGCACCCTCAATGGACTTAACAATCTCAGCCCAACCTTTGCCAATAGACACAGTAACCCCAATAGACCAAGATAAGAAGACGTGTAAGGAAAAGAGCAAGAGGAGTGCCCTTATAAGCGAAGGGGCAGAGCTTAATGAACATGATGGAAAACCAGCTGAAACCCCAGTTCAGCAATCTATATATCCTATAGCAGCTCCCTCAATAGAATCAGCAATTCCAACAGGCCAAGCTCCCCAAATTGACCCTGCAACCCCAGTAGACCCAGAACAGATGACCAAGAGGAAGAGAAGTAACAGTGCATTGAAAAACGAGTTTTTAGAATCTTTGAAACACAATACTGATCCAACTGCAGAAACCCCAGTTCATGAAACTAAAAGAACCAAAACTAAAAAATTTATGGTATGTTGAAGGACCAATATAGTTTTATCAGTGGTTGTATTCTATGTATGTAGGTGAAATATCTAAAAATCATTAATAGATTCTAAGGAGCAATGCTTTAGTGTTCTTCTATAATGATACAATTAGAATTTGCCCATAGTACTGTATAAATGATAATTTGGTATTTCCAGGGCAGATGCAATGCTGATCTAGCTGCTAAAGCCCCGGTTCAGAGAACTGAGTCTCTCAAAGTCACTAGATCTTCTTTTAAACGTCGTGGTGAAAGTTCCATGGTAGGCAGTGGCATTTGTAAATTTAGTTTCAGTAGTGACTATATTCTATTTTTGCTCTAGCATGGAATAATCATGTACTGTTCCTAAAGATTGTTTTTTCTTCCGTAGTTAATATATGATTATATTTGCCCTTTGTAGTAAATAAATTGTAACTTGATTGGTCCATAGTGCTGTATAAATTGTAATTTGGTATTTCCAGGGCAAATGCAATGCTCAACTAGCTGCTGAAACCCCGGTTGGGAGAGTCACTAGATCTGTTTCTAAACGTCATAGTGAAAGGGTAGGCAGTGGCATTTGCAAATTTAGTTCAGTAGTGACTGTATTCTATGTTTGCTCTAGCAGGGAATAATCACTCACAGTTTCTAAAGATTGTTTTTTCTTCTGTAATTAATATGATTTGATTTGCCCATTGTAGTAAATAAATTGTAACTTGATTTGTCCAGAGCTCCCAACAGATTGGTCAGAAATTAAAAAAATGCGACTATTTGAAATGTCTTTCCAATGGTGAAGAAGTTTGCTTCTTTTGTGGGGAAATGGGCCATTCTCTTGGAAATTGTGGTTTGTCTCATGCTGGTACGCTAAAATTTTAATTCTTTTCACGAAATGCTTGTATTCTAATTTTGAATAGAGAATTGTATCGAAACTGTGTTTAGCATGCGAATTGTTAATTTTGGAAATTTTTATTGAAATTTACTTAATAGCAATACGTGGTGTTTCAAATCTTAGTCGGAAACGAGCTTGCCTTAATAAACATGATACATATTATTACAGGTGTAATAGAGGAGATCTTATTTGAGTGTGTTAAGGTTCCAACATAAAACCAATTGGCAATATGTGGAGTAGCCTAACTTGTATTTAAACCATACCAAATGATATGAGGTAGGCGATGTGGGACTTTCAACACACCCCCTCCAACGAAGCCTGCCGGACCAGGCAAAGGGTACTTTTGACCCAACTAAAGGGCAACTTTTGGCCCATGACAATAACCGGAAAGATGTTAGGCTTTGGCTCTGATACCATGTTAAGTTTCCAACATAAAACCAATTGGCAATATGTGGAGTAGCCTAACTTGTATTTAAACCATACCAAATGATATGAGGTAGGCGATGTGGGACTTTCAACAGAGTGATAAGTATTTTTATTTAGTTTGCTCAGATTTTAAGCCATTCTCTACAAATAGATAATTCGATACCTGACCTTGTTGGAGGTGTTTAGAATTTTGCGTAACACAACTAGGGATTTTCATTCTATCTTTGGACTGACAACTGGCTGGCAACTTGCATAATGTTCATTCTATCTTTGCTAAATGCAATCTTCACATATCTGAAATGTAATAGATGTCACTTTACTTTCTTTAATCTGCTATCTTATGATTCAAAATTGTTTAATTGCTGATGCAGGGGGAAGAAGGTTTGCTAAGTGCTTACTCTGTCATGAGCACGGACACTTCAGCTATAACTGCCCTCAAAGTGGTCATAAAAATTTTTGGAAGGTGTCATTCTCTGTTATTTAAATTTATACAATTGTCTTTTTTTTTTCCAGCAACCTTTGTAAATATGTGGATACTTTTGATTTGTTATCCTAACTTTTCCCGTCGTGATAAGTCTACTCTTTTCATACAATTTGTATTCCTTAGGTGCTTGATAACAAATGGTTGGCCGAAGTAGGTCTTTCAATAGGAAACTGGATTTAATTTCCTTATTCATTTTTGTTGATTTGTTTATGATATTATATTGAAGATGTTTAGAATTTGACAAAACTAGTGATTTTCATTCCATCTTTGGACTCACAAACCTGACTGAAACTTGCATAATATACGTTCTATCTCTGTAACATGTTTCACTGTACCTTCTTTAATTTGCTATCTTATCATTCAAATTGTTTCATTGTTGATGCAGGAAAAATAAAATATGCATAGTGCTCACTCTGTAATAAACAGAGACACTACCGCTCTAATCCCTCAAAATGGTCACAGAAATTATCCAAAGGTGTTATTCTCTACTATTTGGATTTTGGACAATTGTCATGTTGGTTTTTTCTTTTTAAACTGGAATCTTTGTAAATGTATTGATTTTTCATTCTAACTTTTCTCCTGTAATTCTTAGTGAAATATTCTCATACAATTTGTCTTGCAGCCAATGGAGCTATCAATATAATTATGTCTTTGGACAAGAAACTGGATTTAATTTCCTTGTTCATTTTTTGTTTATGATTTATATATATTTTAGGTCATGAAATTGTTCTGGTAATTGTTTTGGTTAAGTTAGATGATATTGGTATATTTGGGTTGTGATGGGCTTTCCAAATGGGATGTACATTTCATCATTTTTGCATTATAGGGATCTACACGTGTTTATAAGAACTTTTATTTATTTATAAAATACCCGGGAAAAGATTAATCATAGGCTTATAGGATGGAAATGGAAAATACATCTGCCAACTGTCATTCTTGTGTATCTTAAACTTGTGATCTGTCATTAGTGCAAGTGTTCTTACTTGCTGTTTTAAATTTTAGTCCAATTGATATACAATATGAAGAAGACTTGGTCATGATTGTTAATTTGTTGGACGTTAGACACGTCTTCAAATATGGAATATAAGTTGTATCCTCAGAAACTGCTATCCCTAGTGGAGAAATGGAAAATAAATTCCAATTTCACATTCTCTTCGGATGTATTTTGGTACAAATGATTCAATTACTTTCCTTCGATCCTGAATAGTAATCTGTTATCGTTCTTCTATTCATATTCATATAATTAGTTTCTTCTGATATATCTTCTTCTGATATATCTTGCTAAGCAAGTAAGCAAAGAAGAGTAATCATAATTATTATTTCTGACAACTTGTGTTCCATTTTATTTGTAGCATCAATGGAAACTAAAGGACAGCCTCTTCCCGAACGTAGGATGGTCTTCCGGATGACCCCAAGTGCTCCCGCTCAGGGAACTCGGTTCTCGGTTCCTATGCCATAAGATTTACTATTTTTTTTCACTTTCAAAATCTATATGTAACAAGAAGGTAAATATTATTTCAGACTTACTGGTTTTCTTATCCATTGAGTTACTTCAATTAGTTGTGGCAGAAAAGTACTTAACAACGTAGATGTCACACATAAGATAGTGGAGTAATAATAAGTTCAACCCGAACAAAAACGGGTGCAAATTTTTTGGAATTCAGTTGATGATAATTGTTCAGATAATTTGGTTGCAGTTTCTCGGAATTTAGAATGGATTGCCTATATTTGGAAATATATGAAACTAATATTTTTTTTAAAGTTGGACTGTCAAAATTTAGATAATATTACCCTTGAGGTTTATTTGATTGTGAGAAATTATGGAATAATATTTTTGGAAGGTTTAGCGAACTGATACTATGGTATGGAATATATTTCTGAATGATTCATCAGTTGTATAAAACATATATCATTCATTCTTTTTTAATTTAATTATTAAAATAATTTATTATTTTAAATTATAAAATTATTAAAAAAAAATTAGCTCATTCTTATTTTGGGTATAAACGAATCTCTCCTCTCTTTCTCTTTCTGTATTATAGAATATATAATTTATAATTCAAAAGAAATTATATTTTCAAATTGCACAATTCAGAACTTTTTTTTTTTTTTTTTTGAATTTATAGATTTAAAATTTTCTGAATCCATCGATCCAAAATACTATTAGAATTGAGGAATAATATCATCTTCTCAATGAGATTGGTAGTGCAAGATGAAAGTTAATATGTCTAAAAGGGAATTACCTTTTTAAGGAAATTACCTTTTTATTAAGGAGTGTTTTGAGAGATACCATCGAAGGAAAGTTAAATAAATCTATTTTTTTTCTTATATTTTCTTTCTTGTTAATGTAGTAAATTTCTTAGTTTTTTTGTAAATTTAATTATTATTATTATTATTATTATTATTATTATTATTATTATTATTATTATTATTATTCAGAAACTTCTTGATTTACTCATTCCAAAATTTTCTAGATTTGTACATCAAAATAAAAAAATATATTAAATGTTTTAATCCTCTAAAACTATTTCAAATCCATTAATTTATAATCCTAAAAAAATAAATTTTTCATATTATATCAATCTTTTATATTAATGACGTGTGTCATATGAATAAATTATGGAAGTGAAGTAAGTACTCTTTTGAAAATAAGAGGAAATATGAATTTAAAAATCAAATTGATCTATTGATTTAATTGGTCTAAAAATCAGTTTGTTATTTTTAAATAATTATGGTAAAATTGAAAAATGATTGGATTTTTAGATAAAATTGATTTTGGTAAAAAATATTTAAATATTAAAATTTTTTAATATAATTTTTTTATAAAAAATATAATATATTTTAGTTTTTCTTTTTTATTTTTTATCTCATTAGTTATGTTAATTTTAAATAATGATTATTTTATCATATTTTATAATTATATATCTTATATTTTTTAATATATTTTATATTATAATTTACATTCATCATGATAATAATATTTATTATTTTTTTATTTCTATAAAAATAGTGTTATTAATAAACTTATTATATATGTTATAATATAAAAATGTTATTTTATTAAATATGGTTGAATTCCAATTAATTCTTTAAATTCTAAATTTATTTTTTTATTAGTTTAATGGTTGATCTAATTTTAAAAAGATGAATAGGAAATATTATTGAATCTAACGCATGTAAGTCAGGTCCATCTCACGATGAGAATTAGTAAATCCTTTTATCAGAAGGATTTTTTTTTTTATGATTAGAGATCAGATTAGATTAAAAAAATTTAACCTAAACTAAATTAAATTTATTTTAATCCAATTTGTTTACGTAATTATCCATATAAATTTATATCAGACTATTTCGTAAGCTCTTGCGTCAACTTGTGTTTTAGAATAATAATTATGTTTTAAATAAAAATAAATTATTTTATTAATATATATATATTAAATTAATTTAACAAAAGATTTACTTATTATATATCAAACTAAGTTTCTAATAATCACTTATTACAAAATTTAATCGTTAAAATTAATTACTAAACTAATAAATGACTAAAAATGAATACTGAATACGTTTTTAATTTTGATTTTGAGATTAAATTGATTTATTATCTTAAAATTTATATATTAAATGATTATATTTTAAATTAAAACTCATCTTATTAATATAATTTAAATTTTAAAAATATATTTCTATTTAAAGAGTCAAATTTATAATTTATTTTAAAATATAAACTAAACTGAGTCATCAATATTTTTTTTATCTGACTAATTGGTGAAACTAAAAAATTGTTAACTCCAAATAATAACAATTGAATTCAACACCATTTTTATAAGAGGATTTAATTTTTAAATTGTAACAATATCAATATTTTATAATAAGTAGATAAACTTCCAAATTGCAAAAGATAAAAAAAAATTGTTTCAATACTGTTACACAAATTACAATTAAAAAATATATTGTAATTTATTTTTATCAGAATCTAGTATAAAATGAATGAAATGTGTATATAAACTTGTTTCTAATTATTGTTATTAACATATTAAAGTGCAGAGCATAGACCAATTCATGGCATCGCTAGAATTAAGAAGTGAGAGATGCAGGGCCACTTCACATACACATGCATGCATGGGTGTAACACGGTAACATTCTTCCTTCGTGGATATTATCACCCATGAAAGTTTTGAGGGATTTCAACCTCTGTTTCCTTCCTCAAAATTCTCTTGCTCTCCGTTTTTGTCTCCAAGCTCTCATTGCCATTTGCCTACCCAAAAATAAGGATCTCTTCCTCTGTCTCTCTCATTTCTCTGTTTCTTTTTCCAATCCTTTCTTTCTCACTTCTCCATACCCTTTCTCTATCAACTGTGACAACATGGTACGTTCTCTCTCTGTCCCTAACCCTCTACTTCTTTATGGAAATGGCTGGTTAGATAGAGTGATATGCATAATACATCCAACATGTTTTGTTTTTCCATGGAGAAATATTCATTTATTTGTTCGAGAAGGTTATTGACATTACTGATGTCAATCTGTACATATGTTTCACAAAATGCATTAATTGGCAGAGATGATCTTGTTTCCATGGTTATGATGCACACTTCGAATTTAATATGATAATTGCTAAATCTATTTAGCGAAATTTATGATTTTGGGGCTTAAGTTCTATAAAATTTTGAAAAGCACATTGATTCATTGGATTGGTTGATGCAGAACTAGAAATTTTAGCATGGCAAGAAATTTTCATGTTACACTTTGGGTTTCCTCACCCCCTTTAAGTTTTGTTTTATATCCATTTCTTTTGAAGTGCTGGACTTCACAATGAGTTGGGTCAGTAAGTGTGGACCATCCTGGCTGAGTTTTCCTAGATTGAGATATAATAGATTGCCTTTCTCTTTTAAACTCCACCTGTGGACCATACCAAACTTCCCTTAACTGAGATAGATATATGATAGATCACTTTTCCAAGTTGTCAAAAGAGGCTATTTAAATGCTTGTTCCTAGGTATAGTACTCATTCTTCATGCTCAAAAGACTTAAATCTATCAAAAAGTTGTTGATTTAAGTTATATTGGATTCGATCCTAAAGCAAGATCCTAGGGTTCGAGCCTTATAGAGGAACAAAACTTGGGCTGAGAAGGAGGATTTCACTAAAGATAAGTCAGTCAGATATTCTGATGTGAGATTAGTCATTGACAAAGAGTGGATACTACGGTGCCAATGACACGGTTACAAAAAAGACTAGTCTGGTTATTAACATCAAATTTGTATACTAATGTTTTTCTTTCTATTTCTAAAAACGTATTTTAGGCCAACGCAGCATCTGGAATGGCTGTTCTTGACGAGTGTAAATTAAAATTCCTGGAGCTCAAGGCAAAGAGGAACTACCGTTTCATTGTGTTTAAGATTGAGAACAACGAAGTTGTAGTGGAGAAACTTGGAAGCCCAGAAGAAACCTACGAGAACTTCACTGCATCTCTGCCTGCCAATGAGTGCCGCTACGCTGTCTTTGATTTTGATTTCACAACAAATGAAAACTGCCAGAAAAGCAAGATTTTCTTCATTGCATGGTAATATAATATCCTCAGTTCTTGCACGCATAGTTTCGAAATTTTCTTTTTTCAAGTTCACTAAAAGAAACTTATTTAATCTTAACAAAACTAATCCAAGGTACACATTTTATCTTTCCTATCATGTAATGCATGACATGACACTGGCATATTAGAAAAGAAAACAACTATTTTTACATACTGACTTTGCTATCATATATTTATGTTTACTTTCTTGTTTCTCATATTCAGGGCTCCCGATACATCCAAGGTTAGAGAGAAGATGGTGTATGCCAGCTCCAAGGACAGATTCAAGAGGGAACTTGATGGCATTCAGGTTGAGTTGCAAGCAACGGATCCAAGTGAGATGAGCTTTGATATCATAAAAGCACGGGCTATATAATAATGCCATCCAATTATTCAGATTTCACCCTTTCCCCACAGCTAGCTTTGGCGGCACTAATGATTTCTTTATTTGTTTGATTTTTGCTGTTTTCTTTTGTTCTTTTTTTCAACTGGCCTACATTGTAAACCAGTAGTCTTAATATGATACCTAGAAAAACACACTGCTATGCATTACAGACTATATCAAACAACTTCATTATTGTATACATTACATTCTTTGAAGGTACGACTGCACTCCACTGCAAGTCTATTACGATCTTGTGTTTCTTCCCCACATTTTTTCCCCTTACAAATTTGCAAAGGGTAACTTTTCAGAGACACTAAAAAAGAACTCATTGTCGATTATGTAATTTGATGAATAATTGTTATAAACATATAATGAGTAACAAAAAGGCAGAACCACAAAGGTAGCTTTTGCTTATATGCTAAAATACAATTTGGTATGAAAACATCTTCATATATATTTTTCATAGTCTAGTGTAAAGACACAATACAGCTTTACCACAAAGCTCAGATCCAACAGAGGAAACAGAACTATCAGCAATAGGTTAAGTAACTTAACCTATTGATAAGAATTCGATAAAGCATGCAACGTTGTGACTCATGTAAACCTTTGGTTTAGATATCTGGTCCAAGGATGAACATCAAGGTCCTGCAAATTATGTACGTAAAGAGTTCAAGGTTAAGTAATGAGTAAATTTTTCCAAAAAAGAGAAAAAAGAAAAATAAGGAAAAGCTGAATGAAAAAATTTGCTTTGCATACCGCAGTTGCAATTTTTTATATTTAGAGCACCATGTCAAATAGTCGTTGAAGAAATCTAAAATATGCAAGCCTGCATTTCATGTTGAAGAGAAGGACACCGAAAGCTCCCCAAAACCCCACCGCAAATCCAATTCCCAAGCCATATAGGACCATGACTTCACTGCAGATGTATCATCATCATCATCATCATCATCATCATCTCCGATTGGTTTTGTGTTGTGGGATTTTTCATCTTGTGAGCTGATCATTGTAAGTGGCGGTCCACAAAGTTGATGATTACCCATATAGCGAAGATTTGTGGTTCAGGACACCAATAAAAGACAAACCAGACATGGATTTTGAGGAATTTCTCCCCGCAGGCAATTGATTGAAAAATCAACGGACTCCAACTGTTTCAAGTTGCCAATCACTTCTGATATTGTCCCCACTAATTGATTATGGGACAAATTCATGGATTGTAATCTGGTCAGCATAAATATCTCTACAGGCACTGTCCTAGACAACCTGTTACTATCAATGACATACATCACATCCTCATGTATTGATTCAATGCCTTTTGTGAGCAACACCACAGGAAAGACTAAGTGCTTGGTTAAGCCTGCTGCTTCAAATACTAACGTCATAAGTTGAAGGATAACAGAAAGCTTGGATGTGATGTTATGTAAGCAGTTGGGTATTGGTCCTGATAATTTATTGTTTGCAAAATCCATACCATCAGAGAATTAAGTTGGCATATCTGTGGGTGAATATTGCCACTGAATTGATTGGATCTTAATTGAAGAGCTTTTAGATTCTGCCCCATCCAGCTTGGTATAGCTCCAGAAAAGTTGTTGTAACCAACATCAAGGGATAATAGGTTCTTGCATTTCTTTAATGACAGAGGTATGTCTCCATGCAAGTTGTTCAGGTTCAAGTTCAATGCGACAAGGTTAGACAATGAGCTAGTGAGTGAGAAATCTTGCCTGTTAGGTTGTTACTCCCCAGGCCAACATAACTTAATGGTTCCCAGTTATTCCAACAACCTATCAGTTCTCCAGATAAGAGATTGTGACACAAATCTAAGATCCTTAGATTGCTTTTTGCTGTCATGTTGTGGCACAAAAGAGAAGAAATGGATCCAGACAGAGAGTTTCCATCTAAATTCAAAAGAACCACATTTGATGATAATCTAGGGAAGCCACCTCTCAGGTTATTGGAAGTCAACCAAGCAGGAGGTTAGCAACAATTTGACATGTCCCCATTGATTGAGTTGTTTGATAAAGACAAAAATTCAATTTCAGTAGAAAAGTTTCAAAACTTATCAAGTGGTTCAAATGAAGCAGTTGAGTCTGTTATGCATAGAATTCGGAGAGAACTTTGTGTAAATAGCCATGAAGGAAGTTTGCCCCCAACATATCCTAGACACAAACAGAAGTTGAAACGGAGGCACCCATTCAGGATCAAAATTAAATATTAAGTCTGGCGAGCTCACTGAGAAGTTCTTTAACTTTGAAAGAGACATTAAATTTCTTTCAGAGACAACTCCTGTGAAGGAATTATCAGCAACTATAAGGCTCTCCAAGTTGAAGACTTGCCCAAGACTTTCCGGAAGATTTTCGTTCAAGTCATGCGAGTACAAATTTAATATAATCAAGGATGAAAAATTTCCCAAACTCTCGGGAATTTGGCCAAACAAAGATTTGTGAGATAAATAAAAGTTCTTGTAGTTGTTCAAGTTGTCCATCCAATTTGGAATGCGTCCACAGAGAGAATTATCAGACAAAATCAAGGATTTAATGCTTCTAATATTTGTCAACACTTTATTCAGTTGCCCATGTATTTTACGGTTTCTAATAATTGATAAAAGAGATTTTTTATTTTTATAATTCAATTAGATGATAAATATAGAAATATATTTTTTGTGGTTGTTGAAGATATTTTTTTTCTATTTTCTTTTTCATTAATTCAAAATTAAATAAAATGAAAAAAAAGTTATTATTTTTTATTTTAATATTCATTATTTTTCTTTTTATTTCTAATATAAATTTTAAGACAACACAATTTAAAAATATTATTTTATTATATTTTATTTAAATTAGGTATTAAAAGATTTTTATTATTTTTTAAGAAAAATATATATTAAATTATTATTTTAATTTAAATAATTATAATAAAAATATTATTAATATTTAATATTTTATTATATTTTTATTCTCGTATATATATATATATATATATATATATATATATATATATATATATAAAATATGAATAATAGAGATGGAGATATGTCAGTAAGACCTAGAATTCCAAGTGGAGTGAAATTGGCCTGGATAGATATTTTCAAGTTCATAATCAATTGGTTGATAGTTTCCTTAAGTTAGAACGTGAGTTGAACCATATTAAGTAAAAATAGAAAAATTGATTAACTTGTAAGTTAAAAATATCCATAACTTTTTTTTATTTTTTTATGATATTACGTTTTTTTTATCTAGGTGTTCGATTAATGACGATTAACGATCTGCATATAATATTTACATGAGTAACACACTTTTATAAAAAGTCAAATATTTCGAGATTTTTTCTTCTTCACTAACATCCTATTAAATTTATAATATAGAAATAACATCATTTTATCACTATTTACCTGACTAACACAATTTTATTACACAGTTAGAATCCTATTAAATTTATAATTTAGAAATAACATCATTCTATCAATATTTACCCGATTAACACAATTTTCTTACACGGTTGAAATTCGATTATTAGGAGGCCGAATTTCAACCTCACTAATTAATATAATTTTAAAAATAAAATAATATTTATTAAATATAATAATTAAATATAAATATATATATTTTATATATATATATATATATATATATATATATATATATATATATATGTATTCTTTTAAAAAAAATATTTATATAACTATATTATTAATATATTTTTATAAATATAGTAAAAAAAATATTTAATAGATATATATATAATATTTAAATATTTATTTATATTTTTATAAATATAATAAAATTTAATAAATATATATTTATACCTTTCTATATAACATTTTTACATAAAAAAATTATATATATTATTTAAATATATTTTTAATATAAAATAATTTTAATAAGTAAAAATAATATTTTTTTATAGAAATATATAAATATTTTTATTATATTTTAATATATTTTTACTATATTTATAAAAATATATTAATAATATAACTATATAAATATATTTTTATGTTATTTAAAAAATATTTATATTTATTTCATATAATTATATAAATAATTTTTTTTAAATATATATAATATTTATATATTTATTTTATATAAAAGTATATATATTTATATTCAATTATTATATTTAATAAATATTATTTAAATTTAAAAATTATATTAATTAGTGAGGTCGGATTTTGGCAAGCAGAAAACTAAATTATGTAAAAATGATGTTAGTTAAGTAAATATTAATAGAATAATATTATTTTTTAATTATAAATTTAATAGCATACTAATTATATAAATATTAATAAAATAATATTATTTTTGAATTATAAATTTAATACCGTACTACTGAACACAACAAATCCTGTTAGCCTGGTAGAAAATATCCACCGAACCCCTAATAGTGGTATTAGAGGGGTGGTGATCTGACATGATCATTGCTGAAATTCAAGTTGGAGCAGAGAAAGGTTGAGTTCACCTCTTAGGCAGTGTGATTTGTCATCGTTGTCTGCTGCATGACAAGGGAGACTGAGCTCAGTAACTCTTCCTGTGATGTTGTCACACTCAACTCCTGTCCAGTGACAACAATCTTGTTCAGTGAGCCATGAGGGGAGCAAGCCTGAGGGATCTATCACTCCTTGGAGGAGTCTGTGCATGTCCTTCTTATTGTAATGAACCTTGAAATTGCAGATAACGGAGTTGAACATGATTGTACATTGTAAACGAAGCAAAAGAAATTTAAGATTGGAAGGAAAGGCATCCATGATCACGCAAAAAGATGGGAGGATGATATATGATTGTATGTGATCAGTGATGACCTCCAACTAAAAAGTATTTATGTTGGTTTTTCTAACAGAATCCCGCTAAGATTGATGGTGTCATGACTCTCTTTGGTTTCTTAACATGATTAGAGGAACTGAATTGTATTGTCTGAGAGGGTATTGCTCCAACTTAAAAAGTTGAATTTTTATTGCTCAAATACTTGTTTCTCGCTTTCTATAGTTAGATCCAATCCAATGCAATGTTGAAGGCATTTATGATCTGTTGTGGGTATGGTGATATGGTGCAATGCAATTTAAACACTCAAATTTAATGCACCTTACACAATGCATGCATGCTGGATGATCAGCTGCTATTAGTTGCAAGAGGTTTGAATTTTGCCTGCAAACCCTTCATTTGCGTAGTCTATGTGCTTATAATTACATAAATATGATCCTTTAACAGTTTGTAACCATCAAATGCAGTAGAAAAAAAATATGTAGAATAAGATATCTCCTTACACTAAGACACACAGGAAAAACCAAACAGTTAACATAAAATAAGCTTCTCTAGTCCTTTTGAATCAGTATCAAATGGCCACACATTGTTAATAAGGAAAAGCCCTTGAATTTCGTATGTAAGAACTTTCACAGGAATATACAATTAGTAGTTTATATTAATTAGGATTATAATAGGCTTTGCATGCAAGGCAAGACAATCCTAGATTAATTGAGTATCTGTTAAATGGTACATATGTTTCCTCATGAAAAGTCTTCCTTCTTACAAAGATACAAAACCATGTTATTTACCATTTGTGAAATGTCCAGTACGAAAGTAAATAATTTTTTTTTCTCTCTTCAGTTAATTATTCGATTAATAAGTTTTTTTCTTCTTTAATCATTTTAGTCAACAATTATTTTTTAATTAATGTTCAGTAGCTTTTCTTTTCCTAAATTGTTCTAAGGTTAATTTGAATTTGTTTTCCTTAATAATTCTTCTGCCATATGCACAGTGTTGTACTTGTTAAATTGAACCTTCCTTGCTGGCTTCTTAAATGTGAAAATGAAGACTATGGTGGTTTTGCGTATGCAGGACCCTTTCAACAATGTACTTTTGTACAACTACTCCTTGGTAATGATAGATTCCATGATCCAAAATACAAGTAACCCTTCTTATTTTATGACTTTGAACTGATGAGAATTTTTAGGATTATATATATATATATATATATATATATATATATATATATATATATATATATATATATATATATATATATATATATATAAAATAAAATATTACAAAATATCAAATATCAATAATATCTCAATTATAACTGCTTAAATCAAAATACTAACCTAATGTCTTTTTACCTTTTCTCATAAAAGATAATAAAATCTCTTAATACCTAATCTAAATAAAAGATAATAAAGTAATATTCCTCCTTACTTTAATATCTATTTATTTAAATTTGATATTTTTTCTTTTATTTTGTTTATAATTTTTCCTCCTTTTTTGTTTGTATTTCTTGTCATCTTCATTTTTTGGTCAGATCACATATTTGTTCAACTTCATTTTCTTCATCAAAGTATTTCTTCCTTTATCAACTTCATCTCCTTTGTTTCTTTCAAACTTCTTCATGGTAGTACAGTTGACTCTTTGATGGATGTTGAAAACAGTTTCTTCATCTACATCTTTATTTTCCTCCATAACATTCTTTCAAGAAATCTTCTTCATGCTTTTTCTTTGACTTTTCTTTTATATTCTTGTTTGTAATCATCTCTTCTTTTATCAAATCTAAAGTGAAACTTTTTTCTTTCATGTGAACTTTGAATATTCCCAAGTTATTTGTATCTTTAATCACACAAAGTTTGTGTTCGAAAGACACCTTATAACTTTTCTCCAATAATTAAGCAATACTTAACAAATTATGATTAATATCAGGAACATATAAAACATCAAAAATCAATTTGATATCCAAATGACTTTTAACTGCAGTTGTTCCTGTACCTTTCACATCCATTTATTCTCCATTATCGATTCTCACTTTAGAAATATGTGATTCGTTGAGCTCTTTGAAAAGTTTTCGATCATGAGTCATGTAGTTTGTACAACCACTGTCTATAAGTCAACCTGTGGATTTGTTGATTGCAGAACATATTGATGCAAGGAGAAGTACCTCTTCTACTCTATCCTCTCTAACTTGAATTATTTCCTCTGGTTGTGATTTGCATATCTTTTCTATATATCCCAATTGAGCATATTTGTGACATTTCACATTAGGTTCCCACCAACACTTGTTAGGTGTGTGATTATTTTTCTTGTAATAAGGACAAACAAAAAAGACTCGTGATTTTGTACCTTTGTTGTTCTTGACTTGGAGAGAACCTCCATCATAATATAGTAAAGAACCTTCACTAGCAGCATGATCTCCTTTCATCAATCTTTGTTGCTCTTGTGCTTGTAAAACATGTAACACTTCTCGAATTTTCTCATCCCCTTCATATTGATCTTTCAAATAATTCCAAATTTCTTTGGGTGACTTTAGCATCATGATTCTGGTGAGAATCATTTGTGAAACATCAGCAAACAGACATGATTTAGCTTTTGCCTTCCTCGTTTTTCTTTCTCTGTGAAATTTCATTTCAGCTATGGTGAGATTTTCAGGTAGTGGATCAACAATATAATCTTCTTCTACAACTTCTCATACATCAAATCCTTCAAGATAGGATTGCATTCTCACAGCTCATAAGTCATAACTTTCACCATAAAAAACTGGAATAGCGACTTGTAAAAAATTTCTTTCTCCTTCTATTGTATCGAACCAAAGCTCAGATACCAATTTGTTGAGAATTTTTAGGGTTTTGTATGTGTATTTATGATATATCATGTGGGTATATTTTTTATTCATGTACTCTATGTATATATAGAGTAAAAATATTACAAAATATCAAATATCAATAATATCTCAATTATAACTGCCTAAATCAAAATAATAATCTAATGTCTTTTTACTTTCTCTCTTAAAAAATAATAAAATCTCTTAATATCTAATTTAAATAAAAAATAATAACCAGAGTAGGCCAGAAAAAATCAGATTGGAGAACTTTTGCAGCAGTTATCACTCCATTAAAATGTCCACCATAAGGAGAACTATGACAATGCCAGAGAATACCTTTGACTTCCTCACTTGTCACACATCTTCTCAACAAGTTATCACTCCCTATTTTGAAAAGATAGAGATCATCCCATATAAAATAATGCACATCTTTAAAGAACTTCTTCCTTTGTTGCCAAGTGAGATCTTCTGGGATAACCCCTGCATCTTTGAAATTAGCCATGTCAGCATACCATGACCTCTCTTGTACCATCATAAGTTTTTCATCAGGGAACTCCTCCTGTACTTCTAATTGTTTGTTAGTCACTTTAGTATTCACTAATCTAGACAGATGATCAACTATAAAATTTTCATTGCCCTTTTTGTCCTTGATTACCAAATTGAATTCCTGCAACAATAAAGTCCATCTGATTAATCTGGGTTTAGAATCAGATTTGGTTAACAGATATTTGATTACTGCATGATCAGTATAAACAGTAACAGATGAACCAATCAAATATGCTCTAAATTTCTCCAATGCATATACTATAACTAACAATTCCTTTTCAATTGTTGCATAATTAATTTGAGCTTCATTAAGGACTTTGCTAGCATAATGTATAACATGGAAAACTTTAGACTTTCTTTGGCCTAAGACTGCTCCTATGGCATAATCACTTGCATCACACATTAATTCAAAATCTAATTTCCAATCAGGAGCAATTATTATAGGAGCTAAAATCAATTTTTGTTTTAATAGTGCAAAAGCATGCAAGCATTCAACATTAAAATTGAAAGAGATATCCTTATTGAGCAAGTTGTTGAGTAGTTTGACAATCTTTGAGAAGTCTTTGATAAATCTTCTGTAAAAACCTGCATGCCCTAAGAAGCTTCTTATGCCTTTAACATTCACTAGTGGAGAAAGCTTGGCAATAACATCAACCTTAGCTGAATTAACTTGAATTCCTTGTGCTGAGATTTTGTGACCTAATACAATATCTTCAGTAACCATAAAATGACCTTTTTCCCAATTCAGTACCAGGTTTGTTTCAACACACCGCTTCAGTATGGTGTCAAGATTCTGCAAACAATTATCAATTGAGGATCTGAATACAGAAAAATCATCCATGAAATCCTCTATGCATTTTTCAACCAATTCAGCAAAGATAACAAACATGCATATCTAAAATGTAGCAGGGGCATTACATAACCCAAAAGACATTCTTCTGTAGGCAAAGATACCAAACGGGCATGTAAAGATAGTCTTCTCCTGATCCTGAGGGTCAACAACTATTTGATTGTATCCTGAGTAACCATCCAGAAAACAATAGAAAGATTGTCCTGCTAACCTTTCTAACATTTGATCTATGAAAGGTAACGGAAAATGATATTTTCTAGTTATTACATTCAATTTCCTATAATCTATACACATTCTCCAACCTGTGACAGTCCTAGTAGAAATCAATTCATTATCTGATATTGGATAGATCATACCTGCATCAAGTAATTTTAGGACTTTTTTCTTTACCACCTCTTTCATGGTAGGATTGAGACGTCTTTGGGATTGTGCAACAGGTTTGTAATCATTCTCCATGTGAATCTTGTGCATACAATAAGATGGACTGATTCCTTTGAGATCAGCTAAAGTCCACCCTATGGCCTTCTCATTGTCTCTAAGAACTGAGATTAACTTTTCTTCTTCAGAGTTCGTCAAAACATTGCTAATCACCACTGGCTTGTTACCTCCATCTGCAAGAAAAACATATTTTAAATGATTAGGTAATACCTTTAACTCCAGCTTTTGACTTTCTGTTTCATTTCCAGGCTTCAATTTCTCAGGCTTTATTTTCCTTGATATATCCTCCTGTGCTGAATCAAGATGCTTCAGAAATTCCTCAACTTCTTCTTCATCTTTTTCATCAAATTCATCACCAACACCTATCAAGACTTTTTCAAGTGGGCTTGATTTGGTCATTTGCTTCCTTGTTTTCTAGAAAATTTCATCAACAACATCTATTCTGAGACATTGTTGTTTATCTTTGGGATACATCATTGCTTCAAAGACATTAAAATTGACTTCATCATCTTCTATTCTGACCTTTAATTTGTCATCATCCACATCAATAATGAACTTAGTAGTCTTCATAAAAGGTCTTCCCAATATCAGAGGAACTTCAAGACCTTCTTCCATATCCATCACAACAAAATCAACTGGGAACACAAATTTATCAACTCTCACCAAGACATCCTCCGCCACACCATAAGGGAATTTTAGAGATCTATCACCAAGCTGAAGAGTCATTATTGTAGGCTTTACTTTCAAGTCCCCTATTCTTTTAATCATGGACAAGGGCATTAGATTTATGCTAGCACCCAAATCAAGCAATGTCTTACCTACTGGTAATGTCCCAATTGTGACTGGTATAGTGAAACTTCCAGAGTCCTTAGACTTTGAAGGTAGTGATTTTTGGAATATGGCACTGCACCCTGCTTCTAACTCCACTGTTTCATCAGTAAATCTCCTTTTCTTGGTTAAGAGCTCTTTCATGAATTTTGCATAGGTTGACATCTGCTTCATAGCCTCCACAAATGGAATATTAATTTGCAACCGCTTGAAAATATCCATAAATCTAACAAACTGTCTTTCTTTATCTTTCTTGGAAGGATTAGGAGGGTATGATAGATTCTTTAGCGATGGTATTTGATTCTCACATTTCTCCCTCTTTTTGTCACTATTGCTCTCTTTTTCTCTTTCAATACTTTTTTCTCTCTCTACATTTTCACTCTTATTTTATTCTTCCTCTTTTTCACACTCATTTTTCTCCTCTTTATCTTCCTTCTTTTTTAAGTCTACTTCCTCTACAACTAGATTATCACCAATCCCTCTTCCTATCACCTTACCACTTCTAGTAGTAATTGACTTGCAGTGCTCCCTGGGGTTGGTTTGGGTATTGGCTGAAAATTGTCCTCCTTGTTGCTCACATAGCTGTTTAGCAAATTGGCCCATCTGAGTTTCTAAATTTTTGATTGAAGCCTCTGTATTTCTCTGATTACACAAGGAAGCTTGCATGAATTTTTCCAAAGTGTCTTCCAATTTGGTTGTTCTCTCATGTACTGGAGGATATTTTTGTTGTTGTTGTTGAAATGAGGATAGCTCAAATGATTGTTGTTGATATGGAGGTTGTCAATTAGATGAGCCAACACCTTGTTTCCACCCAAAATTATGAATCTGATTCTAATTCCCTCTCCATCTTTGTGCAAAATTGTTCGGATAGTTATTGAAATTAGAGAAATTACTTTGTCGTCCTTGACCACTACCACTTTGAACACCCATATAATGAGATTCTTCTTGTGGTTTGCTTTGGTAAGATCAATATCCATTTGGATGATCACCTCTACAAAAATCACAACTCATCTGTTAGTTAGGAGTGGATTGTATTGCATGCAATTGGTGAGGTAGTTTCGCCATTTGCTAGGTCAATGCTTCAATCTGTTGAGTTATAATTTTATTCTGGGCTAAGAGAGCATATGAGGTGTTAAGATCAAATACTCTTTTCCTTTGAACCGGATGTCTATTATGTTGAGCATGTTGGTCTGTAGAGGCTAGTGCATCAATAGTTCTTGTGGCATGTTCGACATCTACATCCATCATGGTTCCTCCTGCTGCAACATCTAATAGCATCTTTGTATCAGGTTGCATACCAGTACAAAAAATGTTCAACTGAGCAATGTCTTTAAATCCATGATTTGGACATCTCCTCAACAGTAATTTAAATCTCTCCCATACATCACAAAAGGGTTCATCGGCTCCTTGTCTGAAAGTAGCAATGTTGGACTTTGCTTTGATGTAGTGGGATGGTGGGAAAAATTTGTTCAGGAACTTATCTTCTACATTACCCTAGGTAGTCAAACTCTGATTAGGATGTGATTTCAGCCACTCCTTTGTCTTGCCAGCCAATGAGAAAGGAAATAATCTCAAGTATGTAGATTCAATATATGCTTCTCTAAATCCCATGGTACCAATCAACTCATAAAAAATAGACAAGTGAATGTAGGGATTTTCATGATCCATTCCAGTGAATTGATGAACACTAATCAAACTTAAGAAGACTGACTTCATCTCCAATGTTTGATTGGCTGGTATTGCAATGCTGGAGAAGTGTCTCGGACCTTGTTGTATAACATAGTCTCTAAGTGTTCTTCTAGATAGATTTGAATTTTGATTTGGATTTGCTCCTTCCTCCATCATGACTTCTATGATTGGATCTAGTAAGTTGAGTGTAGGAGAATGATTAACAAATTCTCCTCTTGCTTGTTCTTGAGTTTCTCTTCTTCTTCTACCATGGTTCCTTTGAGCAGTCTTTTCAATTTCAGGATTGAAATCTAACTGATTTGTAGATATCTGTCCTCTTAAGAGCATAAATCAAAGAGCAACTCAAGCAAGAATTAACACAGAAAAACAAAACAAACAAAATAAAAAGAAATAATTAAAATCAAAATATTCACAATACTCAATAATCTAGACACAAATTTTCTAAGATACGCCGTTCCTCGACAACAACGCCAGAAATACTTCTTGAATATTTGGTAAGCGTACCAAAATTATCAATCATAGTGTAGTATTTTGATTAAATAAAAGTCGATCTCATGAGGAACGGTTTCACTGGAAATTTCAAATCATATGCTTACTAAGTGAATTAAAGCAAATTGGGTTTTTCATAAAGATTTGGATTGAAAATAAATGACAAAGAACTGTACAGTGCGTTTAGAAAATATCAAATAAAAGAACTTAAGATTGACTTCCACTTCCTTCTTTGTCTCTCTTTTGCATAATGGCTAGGTCAAATTAAGAACATTAATTAACCTATCAATGTTAGTGCCACCTACTCAAATCATTCACTTTGATTCCTCGCATGTGAAATTCATAAGAAAACCTGATAAAAGTCGATTCCTCATACAGTTAAAAGATTTTCCAGCATTAGGTTTAGGGTGTTAAACACTTGATACATTTATTCCATTCCTGGTCATTAACATAGCAAATATTCTTACCTAATCTAGGGTTTCAAGATATATTTTCCAATCATATCTCAAACATCAAGAATAAATCATTCAAAGGCACAAAAGATGAGAATAACAACATAAAAAACATAGATTAATATCTCAAAATATAACCATGATACAAAAGAGTTCCAAGGAAGTGTACATAATCCTAAGATAATGAAGTTAGCCACTCATGATGGTCATTACAATGCTCTAAATGAGGAAGAATTGAAGAATCCTTGAAGAACAAAACAACAATCGTGCCCCTTCTCCAAAAACCTAAAATTACATCTCAAAACGCGTCTTATCTTTTTATAGGAAAATTTGGGTCGGACTTCGCATCATTTATTTGCTGAAGCGTTCTTTTTTCTTTCAATTTTTCTTTAATTACCTTACAATTATGATCTTTGCTCTTGTATCCAGGTATTATGTAAATTCATCATATATTGGGAGAAAAATATATTAAAATCACTATAATTTAAGTAGTTATATTATAATTAAGAACATAATTACATCAATTTTTACCACTTAAAATTAGTTGACACTAATAGATGACTAAATATATATATATATATATATATATATATATATTATTAATATATTTATTTGTATAATGATTATTATAAAATCGGTTCTCAAAGAAACATTTTCCAACCTAGTAATATATATTATAATCGATGAATTGGGAATAGATTGTATTAGTTTAGTTCCAGTATAATTGATAGACATTGTTAACTACATAATAATTAAAGTACGGCTAAGTTCTAATGAACTGCGTGCCTACCATAATTAACTATCATTTATAGCAAATCACGCTTTGCATTTATCCTCAGCTAATTCACTTATACTATAAAGTGATATTTTTACAACTCAAAAAACCTATAACCCTCAAAAACAATTCATTTTTATTAATATAATAATTATAAAATGATTTAATAAAAATGAAAATAAACTAAAATTATTATTATAATATTAAAAGAGGGTTATTTGCAAGGGTTATATGAAATTTAGATGTCAAACTATCATTTCCGTACTATAAATAGGGAAGGTTTTGCATGGACTCTGCACTAAGAACCCAACTTCATAGCACCACTCACTCATAGCAATTCAGCACCATGGCTACCTCAAACACAAATGCCTCACCCAACAAACCCTCTTTCCTAATTCCTCTTCTTGCCTTTGTGACAATGTTGTTCATGTTCCCCAACACGGTGAAGTCAGCCCAGTTAGTGTCTTTTACCTTTACCAAGTTTGATTCTGACCAAAAGGATCTTATCTTCTAAGGTGATGCCACTTCCAGCAACAATGTCATTCAACTCACCAAGTTAGACAGTAATGGAAACCCTGTGACTGGCAGTGTGGGAAGAGTGTTATACTCTGCACCATTGCGCCTCTGGGAAAGCTCTACGGTAGTATCAACCTTTGAGACCACTTTCACCTTTCAAATCTCAACACCTTACACTACTCCTCTAGCTGATGGCTTCGCCTTATTCCTTGCACCATATGACACTGTCATCCCTCCAAATTCTGGTGGCAATCTCCTTTGATGTGGACATAAAGGTCCCAAGCTTATAACGAGACGGATCAAGACCAAAATTCAATCCAAGATTTAGGTGGACCTATGACAAGTGACAGACTCAGAAAAACACAAGAGACATTGCAACACAAAGTGACCAATTTGCTAAAGACCCAACTATTAAAAGCTCTAAACATGGAGGAGTCTAGCCCTATCACATGCATAAAATGTTTGGAGAGCTAAGAGACCAAACTAGAAGAATTAATTATTATTTTTATTATTATTTGCCACAGTGGGGATTTGAACCCAATACCCAAAGTTTATAATGCCTTCACTAAACCATTTGGGCAACTTAACTTTACTTGGGATATTAGGATTTTAATTTATTTTTATTTCTGCAATGAGACAAACTCATAAACTTAAGTTGTATTAAACATTTGAAAATTGAGAATGAAAGGTACGTAATATTCAGAATCGCTTTGTGAGTTGTTGCTCTGTTAGGGTTCTTCCTTGCATCACTTGATCTTATCAAGAATTATCTAATTCTTGTGGCGATCCTTCTTGGCTTATCAAATATTCTTATTTGTGGCGCCTACGGTATCCTTTATGTTTTTCTGTTTCTATTTCCAATCAAATCAACTCTTAAAACCTAACCCTAAATTGTTTCCCTTCTATTTGAGTGTCGTCATTTTTTTATTTTATTTTTTTACTTGAAAGATGGCAGGTACAGGTGGTGGTGGTGGTACCCCTCCTCTAGGGGGTGACAATAGATTATTGATTGATGCCATTACAACCCAAATGCAAAGAATGTTGACAGAACATACCGAGGAGTTATATGGGAGAATTGAACAACTAGAAAATCAAGGAAATGATGATGATGGTGGAGGTAGAAGGAGGAGAAGGAGAAATAATAAAGGTGATGTTAGAGATAACAGAATTGAAGGAGTAAAGCTGAACATACCCCCTTTTCAAGGAAAGAGTGATCCAGAAGCATATTTGGAGTGAGAAATAAAAATTGAGCAACTATTTGCATGCCATAATTACACAGAAGATAAAAAGATGAGGGTGACATCCATGAAATTCACTGATTATGCTCTCATTTGGTGGAACCAATTACAAAGGGAAAGGGTGAGATATGAAGAACCCTTGGTGGAAAGTTGGGAAGAAATGAAGAGGTTGATGAGAAGAAGATTTGTTCCTTCTCATTATCAAAGAGATCTTCACAACAAGCTCCAAAGACTCATACAAGGTAGTAGAGGTGTTGATGAATATTACAAAGAGATGGAGGTTTCCATGATTAGGGCTAATGTTATGGAGGCGCGGGAGGCTACTATGGCCCGATTCCTACATGGGCTAAATATTGATATAAGGGATGTTGTGGAGCTGCAAAATTATGTTGAGTTGGAGGATTTAGTACATCAAGCTTCTAAGGTGGAACAACAATTGAAGAGAAAGGGTGCCATGAGGAGGAGTTCATCTAATTTTCACTCTTCTAGTTGGAAGGACAAAAATAAGAAGGAGGGAGGATCATCAACAAGCAATCCCAATGTTATAGCTCATAGAAATCAAAATAAGTCTGATGAGGCACTTAAGAAAACAAGGAGTAGTGAGATTAAATGCTTCAAATGTTTGGGAAGAGGTCACATAGCTTCTCAATGTCCCACTAAGAAGACTATGTTATTTAAGGAGGATGGGGAAATAATTAGTGAATCTTCTTCAGATTCTCCGTCTAGTGATGAAAATGAGCATGAAGATGAAAGAGAGTTAGAAAAAGATTTGTTCATGATTAGAAGGATGTTGGGTAGTCAATCAGTTGAATTGAATGATTGTTAAAGAGAAAATATTTTTTATGCAAGGTGCCTCATTCAAGGGAAGTTGTGCTCTTTAATCATTGATGGTGGGAGTTGCACTAACGTGGCTAGTGCACGGTTGATTTCAAAAATGAATTTGGAGACTAAGTCACACCTGCGACCTTACAAACTTCAATGGCTTAGTGAATATGGTGAGATGACCGTGAATAGGCAAGTTGAAGTGGGTTTTTCCATAGGGAAATATGAAGATTCTGTTTTGTGTGATGTGGTGCCTATGGATGCTTGTCATTTACTTCTTGGGGGACCATGGCAGTATGATAGAAGAGTTATGCATGATGGTTTCACTAATAAGTTCTCTTTTATGCATAAAGACCGCAAAACTACTCTTGCACCTTTGGTTCCAAGAGAAGTTAGTGAGGATCAACTAAAAATGAGAAAGAAAAGAAGAAAGAAAAGAAAAAGAGAGAGAAAAAAGAGAAAAGAAAAAGGAAAAAGATGAAGAAAAAGAGAAAGAGAGAAAAAAAAATCAAATATGTTTATAAAAGAAAAAGAAGTCAAAAGAGCTATGCTATTGAGAAAGCCAATACTTTTACTTTAGAGTAAATAAAGTAAATCAAACAGTCCATGTTTTACCAACTCTCTTCCAAAAGAGGTTTCTTCTTTGTTGCAAGATTTTGAAGATGTTTTTCCCAAAGAAGTGCATATAGGTCTACCCCATCTTAAGGGTATTGAGCATCAAATTGACCTTATTCCAGGAGCTTCATTGCCTAATAGACCAGCCTATCGAAGCAATCCCCAAGAAACCAAGGAGATTCAAAAGCAAGTTGAAGACTTAATGCAAAAGGGGTGGGTTAAAGAAAGCTTGAGTCCATGTGAAGTCTCAGTCATTCTAGTCCCTAAGAAAGATGAAACTTGGAGGATATGCACAAATTGTAGAGCTATCAATAACATCACGGTAAAGTATAGACATCCCATTCCTAGGTTAGATGACTTGTTAGATGAATTATATGGTGCTTGTATCTTCTCTAAAATTGACTTGAAAGGTGGATATCATTAAATTAGAATTAGAGAAGGAGATGAGTGGAAAACAACTTTTAAAACTAAATATGGGTTATATGAGTGGCTAGTTATGCCCTTTGGGTTAACTAATGCTCCAAGCACTTTTATGAGATTGATGAACCATGTCTTGAAAGAGTTTTTAGGCAAATGTGTAGTGGTGTATTTTGATGATATTATGATATATAACACTAATTTTGATTTGCATATTGAACATTTGTGTGCTGTCATGAATGTGCTTAGAAAGGAAAAATTGTTTGCTAATCTTGAAAAATGTACCTTTTGCACTGTTCATGTTGTGTTCTTGGGATTTGTTGTGAGTTCTAAAGGGGTACAACTTGATGAGGAAAAGATTAGAGCCATCCAAGAGTGGCCTACCCCTAAGAATGTGGGTGAAGTGAGAAGTTTTCATGGGTTAGCTAGTTTCTATAGGAGGTTTGTTAAAGACTTTAGTAATTTGGCTGCACCTCTTCACTACAAGAAAAATCGCTTTTAGCGACCGAAAAAATCGGTTGCTAATGGCCAAAATTCGGTCGCTATTCTGTTAGCGACCGAAATTAGCGACCAAAATGGTTGGTCGCAAAAGGGCAAGTCGCTAAGTTGTTAGCGACCGATTTACATTTCGGTCGCTAAATAGCGACCGATCTGGTGGTCGCTAAATAATTTGGTCACTTATTCATTGGAGACCAAAATAGCGACCGAATTAAGTGGTCGCTAAATCGGTCGCTAAATCCGTGGTAAAGTTTTAAAAAATAGCGACCGATATATTCGGTCACTAATATATTAATATAATTATTTAAATAATAATTAAAATCGGTCGCTAAATCGGTCGCTAAATTGGAGACAAAGTTAAAAATAATAGCGACGGATATAATCGATCGCTAATATATTAATTGAATTATTTAAATAATAATTTAAATCGGTCGCTAAATCGGTTGCTAAATTTGAATTGTATATTATAATAAATTTGTAACGACCAAAAATTTGGTCGCTAAATCGATCGCTAAATTAATAACAAAGTTAATTATTTTTATTTATTTACATTTTTAATTATATCAAGTTCATTAGACAACTTTTTTTCTCCAATTGGACACAATTGTATTACATAATGAATGCTTAGTAGTTAGTAGTTAAGATGCATTCTCATCCATGAAATGTGGACCAATTGGTAAAAACAATAATAAATTAATAATAAGATGACCTGAATAGATATTGGTGCATCCATATTTAAATTACTTTTTCCATTCCACTATCACTGGGATATGAGTCTTGATCATGAACCAGAACTAGAGGTTTATTCCACAATTGAAGACTTCAAGCAACAATTATACCAACATGGAATACATGTCAAGGGAACACAGATATATGACGAAGGGATTAGCAGTTAGAGGACCTCCAAAAAGGTGGAGAAGTTTGCATGAATTTTTCTTGAATGCTTGGGAAAGGTATATAAGGAAACCTTTTGATTCAGATACATTAAAATTTAAAATACTTCATGAACAATGATGGCTAGGAAAATTTAAGCTAACTGAAATAATCTGCATGTTCTCACCATGCTCCATCTTTTGATGATCTTGCTTCAAATTCCAACTCTGATGGATCTCGCATAACTTCTGTAAAACAATCAGTCCAGGTACAATCTCACAAGATAACTCATTTTATTAGAAGTTTCCTCAAATATATCAATAAATACAACTGTAGCAGCTAGCTATACAAAAATAGAAGGAAAATAGAAAGTGAAAAAAATTTTATGGTGGGAATGTTATTATCACTTTCATGTTCCTTCATTACTGCCAAGTTATTCCTCATCTTCAGTATCATATTATCTTCTACCAAACATGTTCCTAATAACATAAAACAGCTTAACGTAAAAGTCATCACTTAAGCAACAATGGTAGACACTGCAATTATATTAAATAATTCAATGTTGAATATTTGAATATGTGATGACAGACAGCATAGACACGAGAGACATAAAATAAAATAGGCAACCTACCATAACTCAAGCAGCAATGAAAAACACTGCAATTATATTAAATAAATCTAATGTTGACCATTTGAATACTTGAAGACAACATAATAACTTACTATGCTAAGAACCATAAGGTCCACCAGAAGACTCACCTTCCTTACATTTAGGAACCATCAACTCACTGTTAGGGAC